GGCAGTTATCTGAAATTGAAGATATTCCAGGAAAAAATGCTTGCTATAGCATGTTTGGAGGGAACACCCAGCCACGTTCCTTGTTTTCGGATTCATGTATAAGGGGAAGTGTTCGCGCTTCTCCTAGACATGCATTTCATGTCTCTGCCCCTTTCTTATCTGGATTGCCGTTGCAGCCACGCCTCTTGGTGCTTTCAGATATGGACTGTGTGGTTCTGGGCAGGTGTAGAAAAAAATTCGTACTTGTTGAGTGCGATCCTGACACTTCTGAAGATCATTGATTCTTCACGTTGTCGTGGTTTGTAACGTTCGTCGCTGAAACATGAAAGTTTGAGAGAAGTCGAATTTTGCTCGAAAATCACATTTTGGCAAATGTATAGGATCGCAGTAGTTCGTTTCTCTTAGTAGCACAGCCCACGTTGGTAGCATATGGATGGATCGGGCCGACCCATTGACACACACCTCTTCTTTGCGATCTTAGAGAGTAGTGACACTCCCCACTGAGGAAGGCGTCATCAGAAGGGAGGGGCTCGACCTAAGACCCCCAGTGTTTCATGCTGCGAGATGACTTTGTTGGCAGTAAACCAAACTAGGGAGATTGGAAGGCTTGGTTGGCCGTGTTGGAGTCCAATCCCAGATTCGACCCTCAGACTGGCGCAACTTTCCACTTTACCACCTTCGCCCGTGAAGTAGTACAGGAACCAAAAACACCCATGTTTTCTCCGAGTTCGCCACGCCTAACAATTTTTCGGTCAAGTATGGTATAAATTCTCACTTACTCTTTAACCTTGACGTTTTTACTCTTACGAATGGAAGCTCCAGTGGAAAATACTGGAGTGTTTCCTGTTTCAGCTCGAGAATGTGGCATCATAACTACCTCAGACACAGAACTGGCCAACCTGCAACAAAGCTATATTTTAGACGTGAAGCTTCTGGGTGTTCCGAAGAAATACTCTTACTTTACGTGACTAACAGATCCTTGCGGTACATTATTAGGAATACGTGACGTTTCTTCAGAGTAGAGTGGATGAACGGAGTCCCAAAAGGGATCACGGCGTAGTTCCGGGGTACGATCATATCCTTGATCGACTATCATCATGCCCATCTGAATATTTAGCGTTTTTGTAAGAGCTGGGGTCGTAAGTGTGGGCCTGAATAGGGTACTGCGCCGAGATGCTAGGTTTAAACTGTGTACGGATTCTGTTGGACACACAGTCTTGTTCGCTGCGGATGACGGGGCGTGCGAAGGGGATGGATTTAGCGCGCCGCCAGCCCCTTCTCCACCACTTGTTGAAGTGGGTCAACGACCAGAATTGGTGGAAAACGACCACGACTGATGCGTTTAAGACTGGCTTCGTGCCAAACCCAACTTGACGTGCCCCATCACCCGCAGCCAACAACACTGTACAGGGGGGGGGGGCAAAAAAAGACACTTTTCTTCCTCGACTTTCAAGGCGCTATAAGTTACACTTTATTCAAATTCTGATTGGACATTTCCACCATCATATTCAACAACACATTGTACACTATCACGATACTCCGCCACAGCCTTCTGGACGAGCGCCATCGAGAGATTCTGCCACGCGACCGTGATTCGGTGCCTGAGTTCAGCGAGGTCGTTGATTTCTCCGCCACTGTAGACCACCCTGTTGAGCTCCCAACCCGGTAATCGAGGGGTTTAGGTCAGGTGACACACTTGGATATTCCGTCTTCTTCAGGTTCTCAACGCCCTTCGATTCCAAGTAGGCGAGAGTTTTTCCAACGCCCTTCGATTCCATGTGCTGGCACCCAATCCTGTAGCAGTACGAAGTTTCCAAGATGGTACAGGCGACGACATGAAGGCAGGATATTCTCCTCGAGCTGTTCGATGTAACAGTCAGCGTTCACTTTCAGTCCAGGATACATGAAGATAAT